CATATTTTTTTCAAAACGGAGGCAAAAGATTTGCCCCATATATTAAATAAGGAGAAGATAGAGTTGTTACAAGAGCCGAACACACGTCATGACAATTATTCTCGCAATATAATGTCCCCTTGCTTTCTAGCACCCGTAGTGACCCAAAGCTTTGCCTCATCGAGGACCATTTGAAGAAGGATGGTCGGTGGAGCACTCTTGTGGCGGAAGACTCTGGCATTCCTCTCGTTCCAAACGGACCAGGAGACGAGCATAGTGAGAGAGGCCATTGCTCATCTATTAGGATTCTGCAAGTTGGTTCGCTTCTCCCACCACTCCTTCACCGAGCCAGCAAGATGCCAAGTGGTGGTGTCCATGTGCACAAGTCCCAACTTGTCAATGAGCATCCTCCAAAGCCTAAGAGTGTAGCGGCACTTGAAGAAAAGATGGACGCCAGACTCTTGCTCCCTTTTGCAAAGTTGGCAAAGGCCACAGTTGGGCCAGCCACGCCTGGCCAACATGTCTACAGTCCAAACCCGGTCTTTTAGAGCCAGCCACGAGAAGAATTTAACTTTGGGTGGAGCCCAAGCTTTCCACACCATGAAATCCATAGGGGAGAGAATCAACCCAAGGAATTGAGCCTTGTAGGCAGAGGATGCCGAGTAAATCCCGTCGCTGGAGTGCTTCCAGGTGATATCATCCTCGGCATGCTCGTCAAGGTGGACCTCATTCACGAGCATCCAAAGAAAGAAGAACTCATGAACGTGGGCAGCGGTGACGGGCATGTCAATCTTGATCTTCAGGATCCATGCATTCCCTTTAAGGGCCTCACACACCTTCCAATTCTTTCTCCTGGAGGCACCGAAGATTAGCGGGGCAATGTCCTTGGGTTTGCACCCAAGCAACCAAGGAGAGTCCCAAAAAGGCGTTTTCGCACCATTTCCAACAGTAATCGTGGTTGAGGCATAGAAAAAATTCAGGTCCTCCTCTGAGCATGGGTTACCAAGCCCCACCCAAAGCTTGCTGGGCTCCTTCCATTCAAACCATGGCCATCTCAGTCACAAGGCACGGGCGAACTTGTCAGTGTTTAGTACCCCAAGGCCACCATATTCACGAGAATGACATGCCACCTCCCAGTTGACCTTGCATTTGGCACCCGTCGTCTTATCCGAGCCAGACCACAAAAACGCTCGCTCTATCTTGTTGAGGTTTCGTAAAGTGCTCGGCGGCACAACAAGAGGCGTGATGGAGTACACTGCCTGGGAGGAGACAACCGACTTGACCAGAGTCATACGGCCGATGGTGGTAATATTTTGGCCCTCCCAAGTGACCAACTTTTCAGCCACTTTGTCTTTAAGGTATTGGAAATCCACTTTCCTAAGCTGCCAGACCGAGAGTGGGAGGCCCAAATATTTCACAGGGAAAGAAGCTCTTGCAGCCGGCATGCCATGAAGGATATTGTCCAAGTCAAGGTGGTTGCAGTGAATGGGCACAACAGAACTTTTGTGGAAGTTGGTGTGGAGGCCCGTGACCTCGCCAAAACTCCTTAAGATAGCAGAGAAGTTCTCGATGTCCCTCTTGATCGGAGCCAGGAAAACAGCTGCATCATCCACATACAAAGAAGTTCGCACCATGGTGCCACGACCATGAAGTTTGCGGAGAAGGCCTCGGTTTGTTGCAAGATCAAGGATTCGACGAAGCGGGTCAATCGCGAGGACAAATAGGAGCGGCGAGATTGGGTCCCCTTGCCGAAGCCCTTGGCCGTGCCTGATGGGAGGGCCTGGAATCCCGTTGAGAAGGATGCGCGAGGAAACTGAGGAGAGCAACACGGTAATCCAGGCCCTGAATTTGCTTGGGAAGCCCAAGCGCTGCAAGAGGTCCAGAATGTATTCCCATTTGACGGAATCAAAAGCCTTTCTAATGTCAAGCTTGAAGAGGAGGGCGGGGGTCTTGCACTTGTGGAGCCGACGAGCCATGTTCTGCACGTACATAAAGTTGTCGTGGATACTCCTCTTTTTTATGAAAGCACTCTGAGCATTGGAGACGAGGCCATCCATGCGAGGAGCAAGCCGCAAGGAGAGGACCTTGGCGATGATTTTGGCGATAGCATGGATGAGACTAATAGGCCTGTAGTCAGCTATCTCCTCTGCACCATCCTTCTTTGGCAAAAGCACAACATTGGCAGAGTTCACCCACTGTAGGTTGGCAGTGTGAAGAGAGTCGAAATTTTGGATGACCCTCATGATGTCAGGCTTAATGAACCCCCAACATTTCTTGAATAATAACCCCGTGAAGCCGTCTGGCCCAGGAGATTTATCGACCGGCATCTCCTTGATGGCCGCCCACACCTCCTCCTCGGTGATGGGAGCATCAAGGTCCTGCAAGTCATGCTGCTCGAGGTGAAGGTCATCCCAGCAGAAATCGTTGCTGCTCAGGCCCCCCTTCCCATGACCGCGGAGAAGTGGTCATGGACGATTTTCTCCTTTGCCACATGCTCAGTTACCCATCCAAGGTCATGCTTGATCCTGCAGATGTGGTTCTTTCTTCTTCTAGCATTGATACGACGGTGGAAGAAGTTTTTGTTGGCGTCACCATCCTTGAGGTTTGCAATTCTAGCGCATTGGCTCTTTCAAGCCCTCTCGAGGACCTCCAAGGAGATTACCCTCCTCTTCAGCCGCGAACGCAAATCAAGCTCCTCATTAGATAGGGACCTCTCCTCTTGGGCAATGTCAAGACGAAGGATGATGAGCAAGGCCGCATGAAGCTGGATTTTGGCCTTGGAGAACATCTTCTTACTCCATTCGGTGAGACGAAGCGCAGTTTTCTTGAGCTTGTGATGCAGGACCAGAAAAGGCTCAGAGTGGGCCACATGCTCGTCCCATGCCTTGCGCACGATCTCAGCAAAACCCGGCAGGGAAGCCCAGAAGTTCTCAAATCTGAAAGTCCGCGGTCTCTTGGGACCCTTGTCATCGACGAGAAGGAGAGGACAGTGGTCCGAAAGGGACGAAGACAAGGCATGAAGCACGTGGGAATTAAAGGTTGTATCCCAATCAGCATTGCAGAAAAAGGAATCAAGCTTGCACAAAGTTGGGTTGGCCCTCTCGTTGCTCCAGGTGAAACCACGGTTTTGAAGGTGGATCTCCTTAAGCTCGCAGTATTGCAGAGCGGCACGGAAGCGGGTAATTCTACTTCGGTTGACGTTTCTTTTGTTCTTATCCCTGGCTCGGTAGATTTGGTTGAAATCACCCAAAGCAAGCCAGGCCACTCCCGACAAAGGCTTGTGACTGATCAACTCGGCGAAGAATGCATCTTTGCAAGATGAGTCGGTAGGTCCATAGACCGAAGTCACCTTGAAGCACACGTCAGACGCACGGATACGCACCATCGCCGAAAGGCTGTAGGTCAAAGCGACTACGTTGGTCACGTCAAGGAGGTTTTCATCCCACAGCATGAGGATGCCTCCTCTGGTGCCGATAGCCGGCCGCTATGCAAAGCCAGAGAGGCGGATACCACCGAGGGAGGCAGCAATGAACTGATCAACCGAAGCAAGCTTCGTCTCCTAGAGGCAAACAAGGTGGCAAGAGGTGCTGTCAAGAGATGCCTTGACCGTGGCCCTCCGGTCCGGTCAATTTAATCCGCGAACGTTCAGACATACATCTTTTCTGAAGTACTTAATGGGCCACACAAGATGCCCCATGAGTGACTTTTTTTTTGGGGTTAAAAGGAATTTCATTACTCAAGGTGGAGGAAGATCCTCCGAACAAAGTTGAGGTACATTAGCAGGGCCAGAACGAAGCCAAACTGTTGGCCTAGCTTCTACACGACCAAAAGAAGCTAATTTATGACCAACAACATTTTGGTGCCTACTAACATGAGTAATAGAACACTCCCTATCACCACGAAGTTCTTTAACTTCACTGATCAACATCGGGTACACCGATCTGTCCTCCGCATGCGCACGGATGGACTCAACAACATGGAGACAGTCCAACTCCACATCCACCGGCAGCTGGGACCATTGCATAGCAAACCACATGCCCTCCAAGCAAGCTAAGCGTTTGAACGTCATCAGGTTGTGTAATTGTAACGCCGTGTAAGTTTTTTTAACGGAAAAAACTTCTGATCTATTTATCAAACATCATGACAAAGCAAAGAACAAGAGAAGTAGTAGAAACTACACCCATGTTCCTCGTAGACCACCTAACAAGGAGTACAAGCAATGAGCAGAAGGTGTGTCAGCGTCGTCGCCTCTCCCTCACCCGAGTCGGACAAATCTTATTGTAGTAGACAGTCAAAAAATCGTCATGCAAAGGCCCCAAAGACCAGCGGAACCGTAGCCGATAAAGAGAAACGTAGGTCAAAAGGATTCAAGCTGTAGACACACGAGTGCGGACGAACAAAGACATGATCCAAGTAGATCCACCAAAAACAAACATCGAACAAATCCGGCGAAGACACACCTCGACATGGTCACCGGTGATACTAGGTGCACGGCCAGGACGGGCCGGCGGAAAGAACTTATTTGATCTTCATCGAGCTGTCGCCACCTCATCTTCGACACAAACCCTGAACAAATTTAGAAAAACACCTAAAAACCAAGTGGTAGCCCTTTCACCAGTAGGAGCCGGAATCTATCATGCCTTCATGGCACCAAAGCCATAAAAGACGAGGCAGATCAGTGGCGGTACCGACTGGAGGCGGAGAATCCCTAGTGGGGTGGAAGTCTTTTGTGGGGAGCGTAGAGGAGACACCGTGTAAATTGTAAGCACGTAAATCGTTGGTTAGGAACTTGCAATTGCAAAGTTACAGGTGCAGTACAACCGCAACTATGATAAAATGCTGCCCTCAGAAGAAGAAGAAGAAACTACGTACTATATATAGAATGCGTCTGCCTAATCGATCTGAAGGAACAAAATTCGAGTGCTCGGGCTAACCGTGTCCACTGGATCACACGGACACTCCGTATTGAGGTGAAGCTGAACTAAACCAAATAGTACTAGTAACAAACCTGTGTATGTTTGCTAGTCTGACATGATTTGAAGCAACATGTCGTTCCAGGCATCGACCGGCCCGGGCAGACACCAGTGGATGCAGTCGTTGGAGAGTACCCGCTTCTCTTCCGGCCAGTGCCCGTATCTGCTCGGGTGTCCGTCCGGCCGCAGCAGCATGGCGCCCGTCGTGTCCATGAGCACCATGTCCACTCCCGCAACCGCGGCCGCTTTCTCCGCCTCCCTGAACTCCTCCACCTGCCCCGTGTAGAAGTCGAGGTCCAGGTCACCCATCGTCGTCTCGTTGCTCCGGTACGGCTGCGTCCGGCGGCAGTCCCCGCCCTTGTCCCACGACCCTCCCTCGAAGTGAGACATCGGCGACAGCGTCCGCACGATGACTTTCGCCTTCACGCTGCCGTGATTGTTGATGGCCCGAAGCGCTGTCCGGAACGCCATCCGGTGGGAGTAGCGCAGCGTGAGGTTGCTGGTGATGTTGAGCGCGACGAAGCTGCCGCCGACGAGCTGCCCCCTCTCGTAGAACATGGACTGGCGCGTGAACCAGTTGGCCCCCGAGAGGATCACGTAGTCGAACCCGGCCACGCCGGACAACCACCTGCCGTCGGGCTCGTCGAGGTAGAGCTTGAACACACCGGAGTTGTTGTCCGGCTCCTCCGTCCTCACCAGGAAAGGCGACCAGATGATTTTTAGGGTGAAGTTGTAGCGCTCGTAGTGCATTATCTTGATGGGGTCCGTCCTCTCCGTCACCTCCGTCGGCGACGCCACCTGCCACCCAGCGCGCGCCGCCGTGGACATTAGTTAGTACCCGAGCCACACATGCAAAAATGGATTCTACTTTCTACGTAACGTACCTTGGACAAGAGGCAGAGTAGGGACTGCATGTGGTTCCTGGCGAGTGAGTCCCCTACGAACGCGAGCGTCTTGTTCCCAACGAGCCGGAAGAACTTGTCGGCGTCAAACCGCGGGAGGTCGCACCGGCTCGGCTGCCACCGCCACCTCAGGAACTCCAAGTCCGGCCGGCCGTACTTCATGCAGTTCTGGTGCTCCTGGATGTAGGAGCACGTTTCGTTGGTGTACTGCGGCGGCGTGTCCGCGTCCGGGACCCACTCGCCCTGGTAGATGTCGCACTTGGGGATCCGCCAGAAGTAGGACCCGTAGTAGGGGAGGTCGGAGTAGCTCAGGTACGGCACGCTGGTGAAGTAGGACAAAATGATGAGCGCCGAGAGGAACACGGTGGCGGGGACGAAGAGAAGCTTGATGAGCAGAACCATGGCGAGCTGTGCGCGGTAGTCTGATGAGTGTGCACTTGGTGATAATTCAGAGTACTTAAAGTGTCCCCACACTTGTTTCGAGGAGTTCATAAATGTCAGTACCATAAATGGAGGTACCACTATTAGAATCATCGTGTATCGACAATATTATATTGCATCTTACTTTATCTGTTAGAATTTAGAATAATCGTGTATAGACAATATTATATTGCATCTTACTTTATGCGTTTGAATTTATTAGAGCAACTCCAACCCAGCGACCTATTTTATCCGTTTGGGTCATTCGAATATAAATTTGGCCTAACGGGGCGACCCGCCTGCTATCCGCCCGACCAAAACTTGGTCCAAATATGAGCCACAAATGGGTATGAAATGGATAAAAACGGACGCTCCCGTCGCTCGCTACCGTCCACTCATGTCCGCCTTGGTCCCATGTACCAGTGACTGCGCAGGGCCGCGCTCGCATCTCTCGCCTCTCTCGTACAACTCTCTCTCTCTCTCTCCCCCTTCCCCCTGTCGCTGCCGCTACGCCGACTGATTCCGATGAGTCCGCTACGCTTTGCTGCCGTGCTACGCGCCTACAACTCCCCCTCGACGAGCCCTACCTCTCCACCAAGGCGATTTGCCTCTCGCCACCTCTCCTTGTGTTGCCTGCGCTTTCTAATGTGCCTCCTCGACATCTCCTGCATGCCTTCCCTGCTCTGCACTGCCACCTGGTGCTCGTGCATCTCGGCTCGTGGTCGATGGCCATGGTGATGCGGCGGTTGTCGGACATGGCCTCCCGTGTACAGGTGGTCATGGGCTTGGCTGGTGGCTTCAACTGCATCAATCTTACTGGATCTCGTGTTCTGCGGCGGCGGCTGGAGCTCGACACCTGCGTGTCCTATGTCGGCACGCCCGCGGAGGGGGCTGGCGGCGCGAGGGGGAGCGGAGCAGCCTGGCGGCGATGGGGAGCGAAGAGGCACAGCGGCGCGTGGGAGAGCGGAGGGGCGGCGCGCGGAGGGGCACGGTGGCGCCGGCGGCGTTGAGGCGGAGGAGACGGGGCGCGTGCAGAGAAGGTGCTTGTGTGGTGTTGCTTTGTTCGCGCCTGTCCGCTCTTGTGTCCCGCGTTGGGTGCATCTTCCGTCCGCGTGTGTCTGTGGCATGTCCACTATGCCGACGGGCGACCCAAACGGACAAAAAACGGACGAAATCCGTGTCCGTTTGGGTCACTGTGTTGGAGTTGCTCTTAGTCCTTCCAATTTTGACACTAAGTTTGATTGACTCGTATGTAGGTACTTCCTCCGTTTTTATTTATTCCGCCTATTAGCTTTGTAAAGTTTGACTAAGTTTGTAGAAAACAAAATGAACATTCACAGTAACAAATTTATATGATTGGAAAACTTATGCAACGATGAATCCAATGATAGATGTTGGTGTATATGTTAATATAATTTTCTACAAATTTGTTAAAAGTATATAAAGTTTGACTTTAGACAAATCTAATATGCGGAGTAAATAAAAACAAAGGGTGTACCAGTGCCAATGTTATTAATGCACTGACAGATTGCAACTTGTGTTCTTAATATCTGTTCAGGTTTATTAGGCCCCAATAAATTTTAACGATAGACTTGACCAGCAAAATATATTTTATATGTCGTAAAAATAGTGCTCCGAAAGTTGACCCAAAAAATTTGATGGGGCAAGTTGACACTAGCAAAAATATATAAAATAGCATTGTGTCAATTTTTGCTAGTAGTTAGATTTAGGGTCAAAAGTTGACCCAAAAAACAAGGACTAATAAATCCGAACAGATGTAGTGGGCGACAATTGCGCCATATACTACATGGATCAGATGTTACTACATGGAACAGATGTACTCCCTCCGTCTAGGTGAGTAAGTCATCTTAGGATGTGCATCGTGACCAAGGAGGAGGGGAAACCAAGAGACATTATTGTTTATTTGCTAATTAATAGTGTTGCATGCAATGAACTGACCACTGCATGTCGTGTTTGATAGTCTCAAGTCATTAAAAGCATGCACATCCCTCATCTCTTATTGGTTGATATGTCAAGAAACAAGAAACGAGGTAGAAGTTAATGCACCGCGCCTAAGTGTTTTGGGATTATTTGGTTTTCGTAAGATGACTTACACACCTAGACGGATGTCTTTCTTTCTTTCCAATGAATTTGAATACTACATTGAATTCTCCTATCATGCCATACCTTGACTTTCTCTTTAAACAACTTTGAATTTTCATAGGCTCCGTTTCTACACTCATCGAGGGCACTAATGTCTAGCTATCTCTTCTCTTTAACTTGTTTAAAATCATAATTCAACTGTTTGATCGCCCAATAAGCTCTATGTTCTAACTCAAGTGGAAGATGAGAAGTTGTACCATAAACTATTTTGTACATAGACATGCCCATAGTATTTTTAAAAGCAGTCCTATAAGCCCAAAGTGTGTAATTTTTTTAAGACCAATCTTACATGATTTATTAGCGGTCTTCTGCAGAATTAACTTGATTTCTTGGTTAGATAATTCTACTTGACCACTGGATTAAAGAAGACCGATACTTAGCCAAAACTTTTCTAGAAGTACCATGTATGAAATGAGAACCATTATCAGTCATCAAATACATAGGAACACCAAACCTAGGGAAAATAATTTATTTAAGCATTTTAATGGAGGTTTAACACTTTTTTGTAGGGATTGCTTCTACCCACTTGGTTACGTAATCAACAACTACTGAAATATGAGTGTACCCATGAGAGCTAGAAAAGGGTCCCATGTAATCAACTCCCCATACATCAAATTGTTCCACTACTAAAGAATAGTTCATGAGCAGTTCTTGACTTCTTCCAATAATGCCTATCCTATGACACTCATCACAAGATATAATAAATTTTATGAGCATCTTTAAATAAAGTAGGCCAATATAAACCAAACTATAACACCTTGTGTGTAGTTCTTTCTCTAGCATGATGTTCCCCATAAGCACTTAAATGACACCTTCTCAAGAAATGACCCAATTCATTTTCAAGTACGCAACGTCTAATAATACCATATACTAACATTTTATATAAATGAGGGTCATCCCAAAAATAATGTCTCAAAATATTAAAAATTTCACTTTTGTTGGTAAGTAAAATTGGTAGGAATGTGTTTAGGACCAATGTAGTTGGCATAACCAACAAACAAAGGTTTAGAAACTGAAGTTGTGTAACGCCCCGGCCAAACCCATCGGCGTGGCCGCGACAACTGGCTACCAACTAGGATCTAGACTTACCCTATAGAACAACACTAGTCTTTTCTGCGCACTTTATGTTGAATCATGCGCACCCGGGATCAACTTCCGTGTTGGTCACCCATCCTCAAATTACTGCAAGCCAAGCACACTTAACTTTGAGATTTCTTTTAGATGGGCTCTAGGAAAAGAGGTCCACCTTGTTGATATGAGTATTCTGTCATTTCTATTAAGTTGGGATGTCACATACACCCCCACTCAAAGGAACCGACGTCCTACTAATAGGAATGTTCCCTCTTGGCACACGTCCAGTCTGGCACATGTGCCACGACGGGCCATACGCGCCATGCATCGCATGCCCTGAGCACTTGACCCACACACGCTAGTGTAACCGTGAGGGTCGACTCTAATACCAATTGTAAAGCTGTCGTGGTTTTGTCACGACAGATGTCCTCATAGGAGAACTACGTTGTGAGGCCATCACTGCTAGGTGAAGGCTTGGATGGGGTTGATCAGAAATGAGAGACACGGGTTTACCCAGGTTCGGCCCCTCACGATGGAGGTAATAGCCTACTCTTGTTGGATTGCCATTGATGATGATGATCTCGATTACAGGGTGTTGTTTTGCTACCAATGACTTGAGAGATTCTAACTTGTCACCCTGTACGACCAGGAACCCCCTTTATAAATAGACCGGGTCCCTGGTTTACAAGGTAATTCGGGCTCTACCCGCAGTAGGAATTCTACTCTAATTCCTTTGTACTTCCCAAGTTAAGGAAACTCCAGTTCACACCCAATCTCCATGATTCGGGTCCGATCGTATATCGTCGGGTCTCATGTGGGCGTGCAGCAACCAAAAGTCGTCTCATTAGGTATACACCTTGACCCGGTCCTGGGACTTATGATATTCATGCGCCAGCTTTCTTCCTTTGGTCGGCTCTTGGTGATCGGGCCGGGTAGTCGGATTTAGTGCACGGGTAATATCCCTGACAAAAGCCCCGACCAAACCAAACGGTTCCTGTCTGTTGTGCCTGGTTACCACTTATGATCTGGACTTGCGCTACAAACCAACCTTCCTGCACACTTTTTCCTAACTCGTGCGCACCCAGGATTAACTTCCCAGTTGGTCACCCGTCCTCAAATTGCTCCAAACCAAGCACACTTAACTTTGAGGTTCCTTTCAGATGGACTCCCAAAAAGAAGGTGCACCTTGTTGATATGAGTACTCTATCATTCCAATTAAGCTAGGATGCCACAAGTTTTAAAAACAACTAGTTGTTCATCAGGAAAACCATCATTGATAAGGAGGGGATCATCAACTATATTTTGTATTCTAGATAAATGATCAGCTATGGGATTGTCCTCCACCTTACTATCAACAATATGCAAATCAAACTCTTGCAACAATAAAACCCACATTAGAAGTCTAGGTTTAGCATCCTTCTTGTTCATAATATATTTAATAGCAACATGATTAGTATGAATGGTGACTTTAGAATCAACAATGTAAGATCTAAATTTTTCACAGGCAAAAACAACCACTAATGATTCTTTTTCTGTGGTAGCATAGTTTCTTTGAGCATCATCCAAGGTTCTACTAGCATAGTGAATAATATTGAGTCTCTTATATACTCTTTGTCCTAGGACAACTTCTACAACATTCACTAGCATCCTACATAAAATTTCAAAAGGTATGTTCCAATCAGGTGGTTGAATTCTAGGTACAATACAAGAGCTTTCTTTAATGTTTCAAAAGATTCAGTACAATCATCATCAAAAGAAAATGGCATTGTCTGTATCGCTAAATGCATTATGGTCTGTCTAAAGTGCATTATGATACAAAGCCTTGCCTATGAAACCTTTCCACTGCAGCCGAGAGAAGCACCCCTGTCCCACGACACTGG